CTGAACAGACTAAGACAGACAGTGGTCCTTGTGTGGTGGGATTTATTCATTCAACAAGTATTTATTAAGCACTTATTATGTGTCAGGCAATGTTCTAGATGTTGGTGACACATCAGTGTAAACAGATTAAAATACTTGCCTTTGTAGCTCTTAAATTCTAGTGGAGAGAGACAGATAATAAGCAAATACATAAATATAACACAAATAGTATGCCCAATGGTGACAAGTACTCTGGAAAAAATAATAGAGACGAAGGAATTAAAAGTGCTGAGGGAGAGGGTTGCAATTTAAAACAAAGGGTTCAGGGAAAGTCCCCTTCTCGGCAAGGCACATGATATGGTTTGGTTCTGTGCCCCCACCCATATCACATCTCAAATTATAATCCCCATAATTTCCACATGTTGAGGTAGGGACCAGGTGGGAGGTGACTGGATCATGAGGGTGGTTCCCCCCATGCTGTTCTCGTGGTAGTGAGTTCTCAAGAGATCTGATGGGTTTATAAGGCAGTTTTCCCTGCTCTTCCCAGCTCTCTCTCACCTGATGCCATATAAAATGTACCTCTTCCCCTTCTGTCATGATTGTAAGTTTCCTGAGGCCTCCCCAGCCATGCCTAACTGTAAGTCAATCAAACCTCTTTTCTCTATAAATTACCTGTTCCCAGATATGTGTTTATAGTAGTGTGAGAACCGACTAATATGGCCCATGAGCAGATAGGACGGTGGGCAAGGTAACTGCACCTGCCCTGAGAGCAGACCTGTCCAGCCTCTGTGTTCTCCCTCAGCCCTGCCCTACGATCCTCCACCCATGGCTGCCCTCTCCTTTACCTCAGGTTCTCCATGCTCTTCCTCTCTCACCTGCCTCTTCTTCCCACAGCTGGCACAGTCCTGTCCACCAAAGTCTCAGGGGCCCCCTCACACCTCCAGCCACATTCCCCAGGCAAGCCTTCACACCTTGCTGCATACCACCTATTTGGTTTAGAACATCTTATCACCTCCCAGGTGCAGACTCACCTCCTTCAGACCAGCTTCAAGAAAACAAAACCGACCTCCTGGGGACAAGGCTTGGGAGGTCTGTGTGGCCAAGACACTGATGTCATCTCAAGTGGGATAAGGAGTATCAAGGCCCAGAAACTCAGGTAACCATTAATATTAGCGATCATCTACTACGAGAGATACTGGGATTATAAAGCTTAGGAAAACAGGGCCTCAACCGTCATGGGGACACATATGCAAACTACAAATTAAACAGCACATGATGTCTGTATTACAGGTATTGATCAACTTATGACCTATGCAACTTACGACCATTCGACTTTACGACCACAATTGCTAGCCACAACTGCTCCGCTGTAGATTTTTGGAAACACTACAACATTTTGATGTGTATCAAGAATATCGCTACAGCCTGGGAGGCTGTGACGACAAAGTGCATGAATGGCATCTGGAAAAATTGTGTTAAGCGCTATGTTAATGATTTTGACGGATTTGACAGTGAACATGAACTTGAAACGATTTGGGAAAAAATAGTAAAACTCGCTAAAGACCTTTCTTTGGAGTGTGAAATGGAGGATGTCGAAGAGTTGCTAGACGAAGAATCCGGAGAACTTACAAATGAAGAGCTAATCAAACTGGAAGAACAAAGAGTGGCGGAAGAAGAAAGAAGAGAAGCAGAGAAAGAAGAGGAGGAGCCAGAAAGAAAGTTCACCACTAAGGGAATATCAGATGGTTTATCTTTACTGAATAAACTTCTTATACATTTCGAAGCAACGGACCCAAACATGGAACGATTTGCAAGGATTGAACGGATGGCGCACGATGTGTTTCGTCCATATCGTGCAATTTATGAAGAAAAAAAGAAACATACAATTCAGACAAAGCTCACCATGTTTATGAAAAAACCAACTCCGGTAACCTGCTGCCTCAGATGACGACATCAACGAACCACAGCCAAGCACCAGCGGCCAATAAAATGTTTCGTACATGTTTATAAATTTTGATATGTTTTGCAATTGGGAAAATGTTTCCTATGGTATTTTTTACACCTGTATTTTGTATTTTTCTATGCACCTGTATTTTGTAATTTTGTATGTTTTGCAAATATTAAACCAGTTGTACTGGTAATGCAGTGTTTTACTTAAACCTGACAAATGTAAAAATAAGAAACAAAATGGTATAGAGATGATACAAATGGCATAAAATGAACAAAGAAAATTATGACATATAACAATAATGAAAGAAAATTATGATAAAATATGACTTAAAGATTTTTATAACATCATTTCACCGTACTGTACATATAGCCTACTCAACTTACGACCAAATCGTGTTACAACCGGTCTGTTGGAACCAATCGTGGTCATAAGTTGAGCACTAGCTATAGTGGAAATCATAACAACACAGTACTTGCTGTGAGCTTACCATGTGCTGGGAGTTGAACCCAGCACTTAGTACACATACTGCCATATTATCCTCACATAACCTCAGCAAGTAGGTAACCTACTCCTGTAGGTTAAGTAACTTGCCCAGAGTCACAGAGCTTGGAGGTGGCCAAATCAGAGTTAGAATTATGTCTGTCCTACTGCAAAGGCTCCAGCCTCACCACTCTAAAAAAATACACATGGGCATAGGAAGTAGCTCAGGGATGCAATACCATTGATTTCATAATAAAAAAAAAAAAAAAAGGAGTAGCTCAGGGAAAGAAGTGTAATCTGTGTCCAGTGGTATAGGGATGACCTCAGATAGGAGGCATTTGATCTGGATTTTAAAATATAAATAACTGATTTGAAGGATTATAAGGGGGAGGAGAGGTGGGAAGGAATAGGGAAGAATAATAATCCAGGGATAAAAGGAAACCTGAGGAAAAGCACAATGGTATTGAAAAATGGCAAACTGTTGAGTTTTATTGGAAGCACAGTGTCAAGGGCAGGAGGGTGGAGAACTTGAGCTTGGAGAGGTCAACAGTGTCCAATTCTGAAAGGCCTCTAGGTCAAGCTAAGGATATATATTTATTTTATTTAACAAGGCACACAGTAACAAAGCACATAGTAAACGCTACATAAATAGTATTTACTATGTGCTGAGCGCTATTTTAAGCATAACACGAATACTACATACCATTTATGTAGTATTTACTATACGCTAAGCACTGTTCTAAGCATATCACAAATATTAACTCATTGAATCCTTCTAACAACACTACAAAGTAGGTATGAATATTATCGCCCATTTTATAGGTGAGGCCATTGAAGAACAGAAAGGTTATATAATCTACCTGTGCTAACTCAGCAAGTGGATGGAATTCAAACCCAGGCAGTCTGGCCCCGGAGTCCAGGCTCTCAGCTACTACCTAGGCTACATTAACGAGATTTTACAGGGGAGGCAGTATTTCATCCAAGAAATGCTGTGCTTAGTTTTATTGCCTTAAGATTTCTACCACCATATGTCAGAGAAAAAGAGAAAATGGAAGAAAAAGAATGAGTGGTAGGAAGACCACCCAAGAAGGCACCAAAGTGTTCTGTTGAAAGCTGATAATGGCCCACTGGCAAGAAAGACACAGAGGAACAAATGGAGTTCAAAGATATTTTAAAAGAACCAAAAGGGCGTGATGACTAACATGGTGGGGAGAGAGGGATATTGAAGTTGGCTTCCACCTTTCCAGCTCAGATTCCTGGATAGATGGAGATGCTACCCACTCAGATATACAGGAAATGATGACAAGCAGACATGGGTGTGTTAAGTCTGATTCTCAACTTGCTATGGATTTTCAATTGCAAGAACAAGTAGGAGTTGCCTGTGTAGCTCTGAAGCCAACACTATTGGTTTTTCAGCTGTCAATCTTGATGTGCCTATGGGTGGATAGGACCAGAAGCCAGGTAAAGTAAGCTGTATGAGAGAGTTCAAGGCTGGAGGTATCAACTGGGGAGTCATCTACCCTTGAATAGTAATGAAAAGCATAGGACTAGAAAAGATATCCCAGAGAGAAAAGGGAGAGTACTCAGGAAGAAGGTGGGTGGCAGGGCTCTGGAGAAAGACATTTAATGGTTGTATAAAACAAACATACCAAAAAGAAGGGATAGGTTTTCATAGGTTTTAAGAAACAAGCACACCCTACAGATCTGTGGCTAGGTAATATTCCTTAGAAAGTCCAATGTGGTGAGACCAGGCGCAGTGGTTCATGCCTGTAATCCCAGCACTTCGGGAAGCCAAGGCAAGTGAATCACTTGAGGTCAGGAGTTCGAGACCAGCCTGGCCAACATGGTAAAATCCCACTTCCACTAAAAATACAAAAATTAGCCATGCGTGATGGTGCATGCCTATAATCGCAGCTACTTGGGAGGCTCAGGTAGGAGAATCCCTTGAACCCGGGAGGCAGAGGTTGCAGTTAGCTGAGATCATGCCATTGCCCTCCAGCCTGGGCAACACAGCAAGCCTCCATCTCAAAAAAACAAAACAAAAAACAATGTCCAATGTGGTAAAAGAAGCCTGGAGGCCCACTCACTATGTAACCTTGGACAAGTTGCTTGCCACCGATTTGAGCCACAGTTTGGATTTAATAATCTCCAACATGACTGCCAGTTATGAAATAGGACCATGAGGTGACCAAGGTGACCTCAAGATGGGTCTGTGTAACCACCCTGAGAACATTCAGGACAGTGACTCCAGGGAAGGAGGGCAGGTGGTAATCCTGCCAGCTATGTTGCCAGCCAAGGAGGCCACTAGTTAGGCAAGGGGGGCAATCCCATCACCGCGTTTCACTCTTTTTTCTCTCTTAGGCCTTCTGGGCCTTTGTTCCTCTTTACTTACAGAGAGAGAAGCATTCTTCTCGGGGCACAATAGAGACTTTCTTCCCCACCTGGTCACCCTCCTCCGGGCAGACTAGAGGAGGAGAAACCTGGCATTCCTGGGGTGTGAGTGATCCAAGCAGCATGAAAACCCCTTGTATGGCTGTATCTCAAGAAAGCACGAACATCATTCCATGGGATACTGGGTCTGAACGCTCACATTGAGAGAAGCTCCCCTTGTCCACTTCACAGGAATGGTGTGAGCACCTGGGAGAAGCAGTCATGAAAAGGTTTTGGAAGAAATGTCTCATTGTACATAGAGGAACTCCTCCATGGTGTCAGAAGACAAAAGTGAGCCTCTACTGGGTACTTTACCAAACAAAAAGGCAGGGCATCTCCACGTTTGTGCCCCACGGGTACCTCAAACACAATGTGCCCCAAACTGGATTCATCAGCCTCCCAGCAGCTCCCACATCTGCTTTGCGGTCTGGTTCCTTGGCCTCATTGAATGGTACCCAGAGCCTTCCAACTGCTCAATACGAAGTCTTCCCTTCTGCCTGCCTACCCCTCTCTACCCTCACTGCCACTTAATTCCATCAACATCTTTTGTGTGTGTGTGTGTGTGTGTGTGTGTGTGTGAGACAGAGTTTTGCTCTTGTTACCCAGGCTGGAGTGCAATGGCGCGATCTTAGCTCACCACAACCTCCGCCTCCTGGGTTCAGCCAATTCTCCTGTCTCAGCCTCCTGACTAGCTGGGATTACAGGCACGCGCCACCATGCCCAGCTAATTTTTTGTATTTTTTAGTAGAGACGGGGGTTTCACCATGTTGACCAGGATGGTCTCGATCTCTTGACCTCGTGATCCACCCGCCTCAGCCTCCCAAAGTTCTGGGATTACAGGCATGAGCCACCGCGCCCGGCCCCATCAACATCTCTTATGTGAACTGCTGACCTAGAGTCCTCACTTACCTCCCTGCATTCTGTCCTGGTCCTCTCTAACCCATTCCCACACTAAAGCCGAAGTGGCCTTGGCAAAATTTCAGTCCGAGCACACAACTCATTTCTTTAGAGCTCTTCAGTGACTCAGTGGCTCTCAATAGGGAGTGCAAACCCTGGGCTGGCAGGTGAGACCCTTTCCCAGCTGTCTGCCACCTCTTTAGATGCATCTCATCATGCAGCTAGCTCGTCCCTCAGCAATCTTTGTCTCTAGTGCACTCTGCTGTCCCTCCACCTTTGCACTGACTATTCCCTCTCTCCGGAATACTCCTCTTTATCCTCTTGGTCTAAGTCAAGCCATAGGCAACTTTTTGATATTTTACCTCAATTCCTCCAGGAAGCCTCCATGATTTACCACAAGCTAACCTGGGTGCCCTTCCTATGTGAGCTCATAGCACCCTATACTTTACTATAATGAACTTATAACTTGAAATAGTTTGTTTACCATCCATCTCCTTCACTTGATTGTAAGCTCATTGTAAGCTCAGTATCTCACATGTTTTGCCCACCACTATACCCCCCAACACCTAGCAGCACATAAGACAAATGGAATAAGTGCTTAATAAATAGTGAATCATTCATTGTTCTGTTGCTTATCAGTGGGTAAACATAGAACACAGAGATTTAGGAACACCAGCTTAGAATGGCCCTTAGTGGTCACCTAGTACAAGAATTTCCTCTGACAGGCATCTGGGGGCTCTCCTGGACTTGTCCATTAGTCACTGACCACTGTCAGTAAACTCTAGTTTCTAGAAAAATCTTCCTTATCCTGAGCTGAAATGAGTCTCCCCATAGCATCTCCCTCATCAGTCACAGCTCCACTCCCAGGAGCTACACAGGGCAAGTTTGTTCTTTCTTCCTTGTGACACATTTGAAGGCAGCTGTCAGGCTCTGCTCACTCCCTCATTTACCTGTATTTCTACTATACACATCACTTATTTTAAGAGTTCCTCCCTGGCCATGAATCCCAGTCCATTCCCACCTAACCACTGCCTTCTCTGGACAGACCCTCAGACCCTCAGAGTGATGACCAAAGGGAGTTCTAAATCTTGATCCTAAGAGCAAAGACATCCAAAGACAAACAGGTTGGCACAGCTGAGGGCTTTAAGTCATAAAGGTGGATGAGAGCTCCAGCGCTTGGAGTTCTCATCATTCACTTCAGATGAAGGACGTAATGGGAGAAAACGCCATGCCATCGAGTGCCTGCAACATCAGAAAATAAGGACAGCTGCATGTGGAAACTTGAGTCTGGGAAAAATAAATCCATTCTACCATTGACTCATTGCTGTTTATTACAAAGTTCAATATTTTCTCTTCCTCTGAATATCACTGAATAATTATCATAATATAATGAGAAAAAACCAACAATGACCTCAAATCCCAATCCTACTACTCAAAGAGTAAAATAATCCTCTTTTATCCAAACGCCACTCAAGCAACTGTAAGTACTTCGACAGCATCCAAGTATGCCACGCATCATCTCAGCCTATCTGAAAATACCCAGCACAGGACATATTGCACCATGGCAGTGGGACACTGGAACGGAGGACACTGGGATGGGAAAAAAGTATAAAGACCCTTGCATGAGCAAGTGACTTAATCCCTCCAGACCTCCATCTCCTCACCAGTAGGTAAGGGGATTGGCATAGAATTCTGTCCCCGTGATACTTGTCATTATCAGAAATACTTAAACACATCCAATCGTTCCCCTCAATGACATTTAGACATTAACCCTCTGGTGTCCCCATCCCTTTAGCCTCCAAACATCAACTGCGGTGATCCTGATATCTACTGGTACCCTGGGTAGCATGTCCAGCCTGCCCCGTGGGTGGGGGCAGCGGGCACCTGTATAGGTTTCTCCTGCACTACCTGCACCCCCATCAATACAAAGGGCAGAAAGTCAGATGGAAAGCTACCCTTGGTCTCTGCACTTTGACCTCCTTAGAAGCCCCTCCTATGAAATGGTCCTGTAAACTTCCAAAGAAATCCACAAATCTCAAGGAATGTCCTCAATGGAATCCTAGTGACCCCAAACCCAGTTACTTACAGCTCTTTATTGCCATGTATAATATTTTAGAATTTATGCTAACATGTTTTGTGTATGATTATAATAGTAATACATGTACCTGTTAGGGACTTTTGAAAATACAAGAGAAAAAGTACAATTACGCCACTTAGAAATGATTAACATTAACCCTTACAGTCTTTTTTCTATGCATATATTATTTAATTTAGGTCATAATGTACATATTTTATAGTTTGATTTTTCTCTATGCTATTAAATTATTTCAGTGATTGTGTAATATTCCATTACCACCATTAATTTAAGTAATCATCCACTGTAAGAACTTAGGCTATTTCAACTTTTTAAAACTTTTCTCACATTAACATTATAAATAAAACTGTGAGAAATATCCTTTAAAATATATTTTTATATACCTTTTCTCTTAGGGTGGAGATCTAATGTTTTTGCATTACATTGGCAAAGGAAAAATGAAGAGGCAAATAAAGATACAGAAACCAAGGTGGCTAACATATTTTTTCCTCACCCCGAAGAGCCCATTCATACATGCTCATGCTCTTTCTTAGAGCTGGCCAAGGTTAAAACAAACCAAAAAAATGTCATTTTTTTAGGCCTAATAGGCCAGGATTAGCAAAAATACATTATAAAGGTGCTGGAAAATGTTAATTCTTATACTCTGCATGTGGGATGGTAATATGGCATAAACTTTGGAGACAGAAACAATATTATTTTTAATTATAAAAAGTGTAGAATTTAAATATCCAACAGTAAGGAATAAAGAAAATTGTTACATCTCTGTAATGGGGTACTTAACATCTTTACAACCTTTCAATAAAAGGTTAAAGAATATCTACTGGTGCAGTAACAAGCTCGCTCACATTATAATACCAAAAGCAGGACAAAAATCAGACAACGTAGTGTGTTTCTGTAAACAAAAAAAGAAGTGTACACAATTTTATACACACAAAACACACACACACACACACACACACACACACACACACACACACACACCCTGGAAGGATCTACACCAAAAACATCAACAATGGTATGTGGTAGGAAAATAGTGATTTTTGCTTCTGTCTTTTTAAAGTTTTCGGTATTTGTTGTTTATTATTTCATCACATTAAGTATTATGTATTAATAGTGGTAATGGAAAACATTATCAGATTGGTGAAGGAAATAAAGCAATATTTAACTGAGGTTTCCAAACTCAAGTGGGTTGGTCCCATTTCCTGTCCCTCCTTTCTACCACTCCACTTGTGGCTATACCCATCGGGGACAGAAGAAAAGCAACAACTAGAAAATGAGCCTGTGTTATTTCCCACCTAGTTTTGAAACGGAGCCGAGCAGCTGAAAAAGACTAGGATCAAAGAAATCCATCAGACCTGGGAGGCTGTGCCAAATCCCAGGCTATGCGTCACTGATGTGTAACCCTGAACAGTAGCAATGAGAGAATGCTTACCTAGCTCCAAAATGCCAACAATGAGTAATTATTAATAATACTGCCCCTGGGCCCCAGGAAGTCTCATCTCACATGGGGGTTGGGAGTAAAACAAAGGAGTTGCCCCTTTCACAAACCGAGCTGCCTTCAGCACACCTGGTGCCTCACATCTGCACAGTAACTCACAGCCCCTGGCCCCCAGGGCACACTCCCAGGGGAAAGCCCTCTCTATGGACACAAGCATAAGAGAAAACATCTCACGTGTAAAGAGAAAGGCATGGGGACTCAGACGTGAGCCTTGGGATGCCCATGTCTTCAAAGAGCCAACAAGCCCCAATGGGCATGGTGGCCCCGACCAAACTGTGGTCTTGGATGTCTGACACCACTTGCTGGCTAGCTGTGTTGCTTTATTCAAGTGTTCTAATGCCTCTGCCCATCTATGTCCTTATCCGTAACACAGAAAATGCCAATTCTACCTATGACATTGGGTTGTGATCATAAAACTAAAATAACACGCATCACGAACCTGGGTCTAGCGCGTGGTAGCTGAAAATTGGTCCCCTTTTCCTGTCTTGCCCTTGTCTCTGGAAAAGGGCAGGGACTCTTAACAGCTGGCAGGGACACTGTCCCCACCCACGGCAAACAAGTTTTTCTTCTTGGGGTGTCAGTGAGGGGCTGGCCTTGAATGAGGGATCTGTTTAGCCCACGTGGCCCACACACACAGAACCAGAAAGTCCATCCTTGACATTTATTTTTCCAACTAACAGATTTTTCACAAGAATAAGAGTTAAGACCTAGGAGGGA